ATTTACAGCCTTGGAAACCAAGACTTCCACCCTGCCCTGTAGGGAAGCTATGAGTCAGAATTGACTCGGTGGCAGTGAAAGTTTTGTTTTATTTTGTTGGTTTTAGACATGGAAAGGATCAAAGTTCAGCAGTCCTAACAACTATTGGCCACTAGATGTCAGTACAATCGATGCTAACTCATCCTTACAGGACTGCGCTCCCCCTAAAAAACAGGCTCTCTGCATTGAATCAAAGCTGACTCATAGCAACCCCCCACCCCCACCCCAATGGTTTCTGAGATGGTCACTGTTTACAGAAATAGAAAGCCCAGTCTCCCGCGGAGCTGCTGGTGGTTTCGAATTGCAGCCCAATGCGTAGGTAACCACTACACCACCAGGGTTCCTACAGTGCTACCCAGCAAACCAAAAACCAAAATCCTTACCATCAAGTGTGGGATCCAGCCCACATATGGACGAGTCCTGCGGGATGGTCGTGTAATTGAAGGGAAGAAGCTAAAAGGCAGACAAAAGTTTGAAGATGCTCACTTCCTCCTTGGTATCAGGAACCAGGTTTGGGAGAGAGAGAATGTATTCTTACACCAGTTTATATAGTCTCTGGGCATGCAAGCCCCCCTTAATTGCACGTAACCACTTACATAATAAAGTGGGGGGTACCTTAACCCTAGAGATCCCTAAGGTCATTGGAGGAATAACCTGAGTAAGGAGAGCAATAGTAATAGGTCTGCTCCTATAGAAAATGCTGTCATCCAAATGGCAACCAGCCATGCGCTTGTGAGAAGTAACTGAAAGGAGCACTATGATGGGAGGATTTTGTGGGGATGATTTTTAAATTCTGAGGATGTGACTAGGACTCATCCCTTAACTTGCCAGTGTGAAGACCTCCCTCCACCCAGATCCCTGGTCTCCCAGGCTCCTCAAGTATGAGAATAAAGAATTGGTCCACATGAACTTTCTTCCCATTCCTCGGTTTCCCACAATCAAGTGGATTCTGACTCCCAGCAATCCTGCAGGACCAGGCACAACTGCTTTTATGGGTTCCCAAGACTGGAAGAAGAAAGCCTCCTCTTTCTCCCACGGAGCTGAACATATAAAAACAGAGAATTTTGAAACAAATCTGAATTGTTAATCTTTAAAGTCATCAAGCACAACAATATGAGGCTTTAGGATTTTGAGATAAATGACCTCAGACCACCTGAGAGTCAGGGAAGTTGGTTGGAACACAAAAGGCTCTTCATTCCACCCCACTAAGGACCAGGTCCAATGATACTCTATTGCAATCCACAGCAAAATGCCTTCAAAACCCTGCTATGGTGACAAGTTATTTTCTAGCATCCATTCCCGAAGGGTCTTTCCACGACAGTCAACCCTATACACGATGTGATACCTTGTGACCACACTCAAGGTGTTCGGTAGCGTTTTCTAGAGAAACCATGCGAGGCTTTAGGATTTCGAGATCAATCACTTCAGACCACCTCTAAGAACCAGGCACCATCAAGTCGGTCAGCTCAGACTCAGCAAACATCATAAACCACAAAACCAAAAGAGCCCGGTCCAGTGCCACCCTCCCAGTGGCTGTTATAGTTGAGCCCATTGTTGCAGGTATGTTGTCAACTCAACTGGTCGGGGGACTTCCTCTCTTTTGCTGACCCTCTCCTTTACCAATCATGATGACCTTTGCCAAGGACCGATCTCTTCTGATAGCACACCCGAAGTTCAGGAGAGGAAGTCTCGCCAGCCTTGTTCTAAGAAGCATTCTGGGTGTACTTCTTCCAAGAGATTTGTTTGTTCCTCTAGGAGTCCAGTCTTCACCAGCACCACGATTCCAACGCCTCCATTCTGCTATGGGTTCCCTTATCCACTTCCCATGTCCACATGCACATTTGGAGACTGACAGCCCTGCGGTTTGGGTCAAGGTGACACCTCTGCTCTTCAACACTTTACAGAGGTCTTGTGATCGATTTGCCTGATCTAATACCTCACCCGATTGCTTTTCTGTTGCCTCCAC